GAGGGGTGAAAGGGAATAGGGGGGGGGGCTCTTAGGGACGTCGCGGAGGGCACAGGTCGCAGTGGACATTATAAGAACAAAAAAGTGGTAATTAAACCAGCGCTCGGCATTCTTTAAGGGGCCGCGGGTGTGTCGGGGCCGCGGGGCTATACTCCATCTTATCTCAAACTTAATTATTCCAGAGAAATGATCACTGTGCTGGAGGTTTACGGGTGTCGTTATTCTCTCAATATTATTTCTCTCTAAAATTAAGTTCCTCTGATATAATGGGCCGAGTGATCGACGATAATATTTAGAGGTAAAGACTCCCCCTGTTAACAATGTAATAAAGAAATAGTTAAAGCTTCATAACGCTACTGATCGACAGGAGTTATGAAAATGGTCCATATATAAATAATCAACCCAGACTAGGCTTGTGTTTGGTTGATGAATACTTAATCGATAAAGACATCTGAAGCAGCACGACGTATGATATATAGCCTTACCCACATCTCGTATGACCCGTCGATGAAAACAGTCACCAGCCACTCGCAAATATCTTGGCTACAGTCATGATTCGGGGGTCCCCGGTCCGTACCCGTAGCAAATCGGTTATTTATTTCCAGGCAGCAGCCCCATTGTCTCATCCCCTCTGTGCTATCACGCCCCAGCCAAAAAAAAAAAAAGTATATCTATTATAGTCCCAACACCCTTTCTGCCTCCTGAAGAAGGCGATTGTCATTTTTCTTCTGCTGCTAGGCTATCCTTTGTTGTTAAAGATGCCGTTTAGAGAATTTTCACTTTCTCCAAGTATTCTTTACCTTCCTGGAAAGTGCGCTTAAAAATAGTCATCGCGCTAACGAACCAGGAGACCACGATCCCGCGTACATTTCTGGGCAATAAATCAAAGAATTTATACTTGCCATTGTGCTGAGGAGGGAGGGGGAGAGAGAGAGAGAGAGAGAGAGAGAGAGAGAGAGAGAGAGAGAGAGGAGAGAGGAGAGAGAGAGAGAGAGAGAGAGAGAGAGAGAGAAAAGAGAGAGAGGAGAAGAAGAAAGAAAGAAAGAAAGAAGAGAGAGAGAGGGGGGGAGAAGAGACAAAGAAAAATGCAGAGAAAACATTCGTTACACAGAATCCAAGAACTTGCGGACAAAACGTAAACACATGCGAACAATCGGCCGGTCTCTCGCTAGATGAACCGCCCTCAGCCTCTCGATATGCAGATGATGTTTGGGTAGCCGAGTCATAAAGATCACTTTCTTGATAACCTACGATACCCTGAACCCCCTACAGCTATGTCCCCCTCCCTCATAGATCCTCCTGCCCTTAGGTCCTCCTCTCCCTCTCCTCCGGCCCTTCATCGATAACCTGCAGATACTAGTGATAACCTCGAAGTCTTAACTCTGTCGTGCTGCCCACGCCGGGGAGGCTGGACAGTCGCCGGAGCCAGTGTTTCTCGTTCTCTCTCACGAACGAACGAAAGCGTGTGGTGTCGGGTCCCGCGTGAGTCCCCGGCGCCTTCACTTGTTCCGACGTCGTTATCCTAATGATTTCTGGCAAATTGATGCATTGCTCGTACCACCTCAAGACACGACAGCCGCAACCATTGGGGCTCGTAATAGACTCGTCTTTGGCCTGCCCAGAAAGACGATGCTCGCAGAAAACAAAGTGTCCGTTTAATATCCTTGTGAATTTGGCAATCTCGATGGCTAAAATATCAGTTAGTTATATGCGTACACATAAGGAAATAACACTTTCTAAATTGCTTAAGTGCCATAAACCTAACACGCAATGAATATTAAACAAAGATAACTGTAGGGGTATGATTTATATGTATACTTTCGTTCCACCCGGGTGCAGCCAAAGCAACAACAAAACAGAGCCGAGTTAATGGTCATTGAAGAAAAGATTCACACTCAGATATGGATTCATGCAGAGGCGATAAGATTGATGGCGCGTGATGGCCGGGTCATGCAAGCGTATGGAATGTTTTGCCGGCCAGTGGGACCTCTCTAATCATTCCCCTCCGCCCCTGGGGAAGGGGAGGGGTCGAGGACTACCAGGGAGGGGCCAAGGAGTACCAGGAGAGGGGTCGAATAGAGAAGGCGATCCGGCGAGTGTTTGTCAAGTTGAAAAATCCCTCTGGCTGAGCCCCTCACGCGCGGTCACTTCGACCGAGTCTCCAGACACTCTCCTGGGACTTTACTTTGACATGCTATGATGTGTAATGCTCCCCCCACTGGGTCCACCCACGGGACGCCCCCTGGACTAGCCCCCGCAACTCCGAATTAGATATCAGTCTCGATGGCCGAGTCGTGACTGGAACGAGTCGTTAGGACATCTTGATGTCGGGATTGTCTGTAACTGCGCTTGTACAGGTGCTCCTAATGAACTTCCTGCTCAGCTGAAATACTGACACTTTGCAAAGTTACAATGGAAGTTTACATTCAATCAGCAACACCGCACCCGGGATGGATATTCATTCTGAATGCTAGTTACCGCATAAGTAGATATATATTAGATGCAGTTGACTCCTTCGGTCTCCTGCTGTCGACCCCTCCTGCCAGGGACAAACCCAGCAGCTCGTCCGTGGTACATCCATCCCGTGGTCGCAGATGGTGGACGTGTCTCTCCCCCACGTGGCGGTGCCCTGCGAGGCGCCGCTGAGGCCTCCCGGTGCTAACATCTCCTCCGGGGTCAAGGGTGAGGAGGCCCGCTGCTCGGAGGAGAGCGTCGGGACCCTTCATCCCCCTGGCCCAGGATTTATGCCTCACCCCTCTTTATGGACTATTGTGTCCTAGGATATCGAAAGCCTCGAAATATCGTTGTTCTTGGACGAGTCGTGAAGTAGGGCGGGATATTTCGCATCGGGGAAAGGGGGCGAGTGGTTGCTGCCATTTAAAAGTGGGAATGTACGAGTCCAACGTTGGTAGTACGGAGGTCGAAAGTCGCCATCGCTCACCTGCGAGAAAGTGCATTTCCCGCCCCGCCCTCCTCCCCCTGCCCCTGCGATGTATGGGTCTCGGGACTTTACCCCCATTCAAACATGATACAAAATACAAGATTACATAAATCCCTTGCTCGGGGTTATCTCAACGAACTCCCCGGTTGGTCATTGAGCACATAGCTTCATCTCGCAGACAACGCTGAGCGATGAGGAAAATGTGCGAGTAACAAGTATTACCCCACCGGGTTACCCCCGAGTGGGGACCTCTCAGGTGCAACAAGGTATTCATGCGATGCTCAAATCAGGCTACGTGACTGGAAGCCTCAACGGCGCATTACGAAGGCTTCAAGGAGATTATCTTATGCACTGATGCATTCCTCATGACTATGGATTGCTGACACGTGATAAATGAGCGAGATATCGTAAGCCCTGAAATTTATGGGCGAACTTTGCTGGTTGAAAGATGATCGGGCTTTAAAAACCAGGCCAAGGTTTTAATTCACAAACCTGATTTTTGGCGGGTTGACGAATACAGAATATATATATATTTTTATGTGTATCTTGGGAAGATCTTTTAATGGTCCTTGTACACTGAATTTTACATATTTTTCTTTAACGTAAAAATCCCCGGGGTAAAGCGTCATAAAATAAAATTCCAAAAATCTTTCTCGCCCTCGTGCTATACTTTGTGTTGATTATCAGCCATCAGAAAATTATACCCGTCTTGCCTTCTACAATGCATATATTTCATATATTTTAAACTCATTTCAAAGAGATATTGCCCAAAAGTTTTCCGCGCTCACAACTTGAATCTCGCCCGGGATCAGGGGTATTTTCGTGTTTTGCAGTGACGTCTCTCAGAGATGCAAATTTCTTCATTTTCACGACGTCTTCAACGAGGGCTGGTTTTATCAAAGCCTGACCCCACCCAATGGCCGCGGGAAGCAAGGTCGCATCTCGAACTGACACACCGCATGCAATAATCGCCCCTGTTTCCGCCTGCCACAGGTGCGGATGCGTTTCTCCTCTCCGCGCTCGGCATTGCGGCCGGGACGACTGGCACGAGGTCATGTGCGAGGGGCTGTGGGCGGAGCTCTGGGCTAATGGCCGCTTTGTGCCGCGGATAACTCGATGTCACGTGCGTCGCCTCTTTAACGCTCCTCCAGCTTTCATCCCGACTCGTGCATCAAATCAAGTGAAATGCGAATCAAGTGAAATGCGGATATTCATGCATCGGATCCAATATGCATCATGCAGAGGGATTATACTGTCGGATTTGCTCGATTCGGTGCCCCAATCAGGGCGCTCCGGTGATTAGGGCGCGGAGTTATGGGCGTATTGATCCTGATGGCGTTCTGATTGCGGCCTCAGCCCTCCCTCTTAACCTCATCATGACACTCCGATCTCCGCGGCCACTTAGAACTGCCACGTCACGGCGTCTGGTCAGCCAACCAAAGGGTGATTATTCTTTAGTACCTGTGGGTTCTCTTAGTATAAATACTCCACACTTTTTTTCTTCTAGTGTGCTCATGAACTTTTGGCTCCGACGAGAGAGATGAAGAAGAAAAACATATTCATGACTCTTAGACTCTCATGCTTCTTAACGTCCCATTCAGGTAACGAGTTTGCTTCATGGTTTCCCGCTCTGAAAGCATCACGCCCTCATCCACCCCTCCCCACCCCTGCCTCACCACACCCTTTTCTTCCCCAGCGGCGTGTGTGACATGCCACGCCCTGGCCCATACGATGCCACTCACTCATACCCTCCTATGCCCGCTCCATCAGCCCGCCTTCCTTGGGGCACCACCCTCCATTCACAATTTTATCACCATCATGATCACAAGTTTTTATTATGTTTTATGGAGTATTTGACCGTTGAAAGATATTTTAATGACTGTTGCATGTTCCTCCACACAGATTTATGAAGGGATTTGTGCGTTTAACGAGCAGAATTAGATTGTACTTCATTCATCTTTCAGTGTGTTTACATATACATGCGAGTACGTAAAGGTGAGAGGGTGAAAGTGACGTAAGTGCGTATGTTTGCGTGCGAGGAGGGAGGTGGTGCAGCTGGTGCGGCCGTGATGGTCAGTAATCCTAGGGGAGGTGGACGGCCCGCCAAGCCTACACTATTACGTTAAGATGCAACATGCGGCCCACCCCGCCCACGCTGCCGCCTCCGCGTCCCGGCGAGCCTTCGTGCGCCTGGGGTGGTGCTCGCTAATGGTGCCTGATGTAGGTAATGTAATGGAAACACCTGACCTGTGGTGCGTGACTAATAGCTCTCTCTTCTTTCCTTCCAGTTACTTCAGCAGTCCAAACAACGGGTTCCTACGCCATCCTTTAGGAGGCCTCGCCGGCTACAAGCACGGATCCGCACCCTTCCTCGGGGGCGTTCCTACTCCACCCACCACGTCTTCCTCCGCTAAAGATACTGACAAAAAGGTGGACCCAGTGCCAGTCACATCGGCGGCAGGCCTCGGCCCGATGCCTCCCCACCCCGGAGCGTCTCCGATGTTCCCCGGCGCGGGCCTTCCAGGCTTCCCAGGGTTCCCTCTCGTGGACATGTCCTCCACTCAGGTCCTTCTCAACATGGTGCGCAACGCATCAGCTGCGCAACAGTCACAGTTGGAAAACTACCTGCGTGGCGCTATGAAGAGGCCAGCAGACGCCCCTACCTCCCCTCTTGATCTCTCCGCGTCCGTCGCCACGAAGAGACCGAGGACAGAAACTTCTAAACCTTTCGACGTGAAGAGCCTGTTTAGTTTGCCGCACGAAGAGGAGAAGAAGGCAGAAGCCAAGGCGCTCACCAACAGGTCACCCACACCGCCTAAGCCTCGGCCTACGCCCTCGCCTGGCACGCACAAGCCGCCCACCCCGTGCTCCGACAAGAACTGCCCGAGTCTGGAGTCCATCGGTCACTGGACAGTCGACGACGTCTGCTCTTTCGTCGGGAGCATAGAGCTGTGCGCCGAATATGTTGAGGTAAGTTGCACAATTACTTTAGCCCTTCTCATATAGAAGTAGCTGATCACATTTACATTAATCTGTTTTAATAGTCATGCACGTCTCATTTCCATCCTGAAAACAAAAGTATAATTGTAAAACGCCCCCCCCCCCCCCTCGAGGGTAAGAGTAGCAGTGCAATCAAGCTGTCGCCGCCGGTAAAAGCGAGTCTTATCCAAACATGGTGTCTATCATTTACTAAATTCCTATGGTTCCCTATAAGCGTCTGCGGAACAAAAGCAGCCCTTTGTGCCATCCCCGGGCTATGACCACAGAACCTCGTAATGTCACAGCTAATACGTGTTTCTCTCAGCGATGCCATTACCATATGACTCATCTCGGGGTTTAATAAAACCGTCACCTTTTTATTTTTTAATCTAAACCTGTCATAACTCCCCGCACTTGCTTCATCCACCTGGGGGTTAAATGAGAACTCAGACATCATTAGGCATCATGGGAAGATATCAAATAATCAAGGCATTTAACCCCCGACCGTCTGAGGTATGTGAGGGCTTGGCAACCATTACCTCCGCGCACTGGCCAGGTGATATTACAACCATTACCTTCACGGGGCGGAGGGTCCCTGTTATTACCACCGGGCCGTTTGTTTCTCTCGGCCGCCGCGACATTCCACGACACGAAACCTACCACGACCCGCGGGAGCTTCTCTTTAATAGCCGCTCGGGTGCACGGTCGATCTTATCCACTCCCGCATTAATCATTCTAGAATTCCACCGATGCGCGGAGCTGAGGTTGAAAAAAAAAAAGAAAAATCTGGGTGTGTAATAACTAGACTTAAAAGTGATTGATTTCCTAACTCACTAACGAAATAGCCATATAAGTAGAAACCATCTCACCATCACTACAGAAGAATTGGTCTTCGTCTCGTCTTAAAAGGTCCAGGCTTTTCGTCAGCCCATCAATATAACCGAAGATTAATTTCTCAAGACCAATAGGCCTAAGATGATTTATCACTCAGATTGGTCTGTGTTTGGGAGCGGCACTGCAGGTGTGGGTCGACTAATGTTACGTGTAATAAGTACTGTGGCATTGGCTGGAGGGAATCGTCGAGGTGGAAGATAGATCGGATCATTTCTAATGGATTGTGTGTGCGTGTGTGTGTGCGCGTGCGTGTGTGTCCTTGCGTGCGGGCACACGTTCATGTTTAGTAGTTGACATTTTTCAGTAGAATATACAGATATAAAGTGAACCCTCACTTACCTTACTGTAGAAAAAATAAAAAATAAAAATAAAAAAACGAAATTCAAATCAATTTAAGGTCTTCAGAATCTCTCTTGACCCCCTCCCCCTCCCCTCCTTCTTCCACAAGCAAGAGTGGTCAAAGAGCTCTCGTCGACGCCCAAAATATGATGAAGAAGGGCGGAGGGCGACAGAAATGACCGAGGGAGGCGTAAGCATTAATGAATGGGTTATTGAAAGCCAGAACATGACATTCGAGACGTAAAAATGGTGATGTGTTGAACAATTAACTAGGTTTCTTGTAATGAAACGTGTCCATTAGTTGCGGTCTCTTAAACCCGAAGAAAATTAAATTACATGGATAACTTGAAAGATGCCGACTGAATTAATAATAAAAAAAGAAAAACAAAATCGATCCGTGTCCTCCAATATTCCCAAGAGGCCTATAACCTTTCAGAAATTGATTTGGAGAAAGTAAGAAAAAAATAAAAAAATACAGAAAAAACAACAACGCTGACGTCTGTAAATAAAGATGTAAATTGCCACAAAAGGTCCACGTTAAGAGTGACGTCGATGAGGACATTTATAGGCCCGCCTCGGCAATAAACGAGGAGAGAGTTCCCGAAGGCCTAACTTGACAATAAAAGGGGCCGAGCGCGAAGGAGGCGTCGGGGAGGCCTACCTTGGCGATAACGCAGGTGAGAATCACGTAGCATCAGCGATAACCCGAGAAGGGCGGTGGCGGGGAGCGGCGTCCGTGGCAGGGAGGGATATCTACAGAACCCATTAAGAGAAGGGAGGGACCGCCGTCTCGGAGGCCCGGTCGCCGCGACGTAATGAATCCCGCATGTAGCGACGCCTCCTCCGCCTACCGTTCTAGGCCTACGCATCTCATTACATATTCTGGACTATTGTTTGCGGTAAACGTCGGCTCTTGTTCGGGAAGGGGTTGCCTGGTCCAGCGATTGGGATGCGCGGCCGGGCGGGAAGGCGCTGCGGACGCCGTGATTAAAATGATTTTAGTTCCAGTAATTAATAGTTCGCGGAGACTAACGTGCCTGGGTTATGATACCGGGCAGGGAGGGCTAATAACTCCTGCTATAGACCGCGTATACCCTTCAACCGCTTGTTGATATATTTTATCAATAGACTGAAAACTTAATGCCTTTCACCGACTATTTAATAACAGATGAAAGATGCATCCCGATTTTTTTTTTCTGAAATATAGTATGATCATTCATTCACTTGAGATATTTTATCGCCATTATCAGACGCGTGATCGAGCCCCGAATACCGTTAGTAATTAAATAAAATCGACTTCTGGCGCGGGAACATTCTTTATCATGTTAGCCCGACAACTTAAAAGATGCTTGCTTTATCTCGCCGAATTTTACCCGAGGAATTTTTGTTTTATAGTCTTCGGCGAAGAGCCCACGAGCAGGGAGGAGGAGGTCACGATGTTATTAAAGAGATAAAAACATTGTTAGCGCTGCACCGGGAGCTTCAGTTCATGCTGGATAAGGAAGAGAAGCTCCCGCTGAGGCTGATAAAGCACTCAGAGCGAACGTTATCAGCTGTGTTCGCTTTATTGCCTTATAAAATCGGTAAATCTGATCTAAAAGTGTCATCGAGATTTAGTGATATGCATTTTTTTTCGTAATAGATGCTTCCTACGTATACAACGAGACTAATTCCGTGAGGTTTCTCAATGGGAAATTCACCTTCACATTTTTTTCCGTGGCGCTGGGCCTGCTTCGGCAGTCGTGGGGACGAAGAGGAGATACCATCAAGGGGGCCACGGCGGGTCATGCTCCCTTCCCCCCTCCATCTACCCACCCTTGCCCCTTCACATGTTAACTCCTCTGTACTTGTCATATAAAATCTAAATAAATCCTTGCATTCTTGATAACATCGGTAAACAATCAGTACTCAAACAACCCTTGCGGTTTTCTTTTCTTTTAATTATCACTATTATTCGCTGTTAGAGATGAATATAACAAAAATCTTGAGTTATTGCCATGCACACCTGTACGTGAAGCTCAGCGTGAGCCGAAAGCTAATTAGAGCTACGACGTCTCACGAGGGAGACCCGAAGCGCCGGCCACCGCTCTGGGCCCTTTGACCTGCCGGCCGTGGCGTTGTTTACGTGGGGTCTGCGCGGCGGCGTGAAGTGGGCATCGCGAGGCCTGCCCTGACAGTCCCTCCACGCCGAGGTAAATACAAGGTTGAGACGAACACCACTGGCTCTATTATGGCGTTTTAAGGACGTGAAAAACACCACAGGAATGTGATTAAGGCGTTTTTAAAGGATTATCTTGCGCAGTCGTGATATAAGATTCGTGAGCAGCGCTGATGTCGGACATGGATTAATTCTGACAAGTTTATAACTGTGGGTATTTAACACTGGGTCTTTGAGATAGTATCATCGGTCCGGGAAGTACGAGGCAGCCACGAGAGATCCCACCTATCGATAAGAAAGAACTTGAAGGGTTATTTGCCGTTCTCCTTAGGCATACATATTTGTTAAGGAAAAAAAGAAGAAAAAGAAAAAGGCTTTCAGGCTAAGTAGATTTGCAATGCCCCCCAAAAAAGAATATTTAAGAAACTTTCAATAACCGTTCAAATGTTATTGTTCCTGCTATCGGCGTGGAAACAATGGCAGTCAGAGAAACAATAGTTCAATTAATAAGTTATGTGTTTTAAGATAGCCATCAGGAGGAAGGCCAAAATCGTGCGTCAGGTTGCTGGGTCGAACGCTCTCCCGAGTTCAAGCGATTTGTCGACCGGTGAAACTACCTTCGCTTTTGTCTAGGGTTTGGACGTCGAGCATCAGTCTTGCAGGACGAATACGCTGCAATGACTGTGCTCTTGCTTTCTGCCCAGAGACTTGTTTGAATACATTTAGTAGAAAGTATTCGCGGCATGGGACTAACCTCAGTGTTCCCCTCGGTGAGAATACCTCGTGGCCGCACAGAGAACTCTCTTTGCTGTGTCTAATATTTTCAGCGCACTGACACTAATATCAACCCAATGCAAGTGTTGAAATATTGTTTACGTTTCTACACATAATTTTACGTCACCATTAACAAAAAATACTCCAACGTCAGACAACAAAATTGCCTTTCCTTCGATGACTACCTGCTGCCCTGGTCCCCCTCCCCTCTGTCTCGTGACCCCCCCTTCCCCCATTCCAATCTCTCAGAGACCCACCGGGGCCTCCCTCTGCAGCAGTGGTTAAGGGTTCTTAAGTGGCTCCGTGATGACCCCTGTGTGTGACCCTACTTTGACCTCCTGTCCCGACGCTGACCCAGTCGGAATCTTCCCTCTCTCTCTCCCCCCGTGACCAAAGGTGGAAAAGGGCGTGTATTATTTATGTTCATTATGTATCCGAGCTGAATGATGCTTTGTGTTATAAAGAGACAGAAAAAAACGGAGAGGGAGGGCGGCCGAGCCATTGTTTGAGCGCCGTCCGATTAAGGAAGGCGGATTCCGATGACGGCGATAGGAGAGAAAAAAATCTCTCGATAGGTTGGCCTCATCTCGTCTGACATTTGTATTGACGTTGGCAGCAATATAATGCATAAATGCATACTCGATCACGGAATGGCTTACATCATTATCTGTCTGCGTCCGTTTCCCAAATACCCGGCGATACCGAGAAGGGCGTCGAACAAACGCCGAAGAAAAATACGAAACGAAGACAAAAAATGAAACAATGTCGACCGCCCCCGCCCACCCGACAGCCACTCGTGATGACATGGCGATGACGTGATGACCTGAATCAACAAAGGGCTGGTGTCTGCAGCTCGCCCGGTGATGAAGGGGCAGATACTATCGGGATTCGAGCAACTGATGAATACATCATCATATATTGACCTCCGCCCAAGACGAATATATCATGGATCAACAGCCACGTCTGCCAGAAGTACGATGATCTGTATAATGACGGGTGACGAGCATCAGGGCATACGGAGAGAAGCATTCGCGTAATATCAGATTTATGCAAATGTCCCCAGCCGAGCCTTGTTAGTGGCGGTCATGAAATACTAATGGTTGTAGGAATAACAGTGGCAATGAGAATGAAACAGTTAATATGGAATTACAGTCTTAGCTTCTATTGGTCATTATAATCATCATAACGACATTGACCATAAAACTCACCAGCAAGAATAATGGCGACAGAAGTAAAAAAAAAAAAAAAAAAATCGGAGCCCGACTGCCACGGCCTCTTGTATGAATAAGAGCATTCGATCAGATGGCGCGATACCCGAGCGACTCGCACGACGCTCGTATCCGGTCCTCCTGCTGTCATTGATTTGTGGTCATGGCTTCCCTCTTACCTCAATCATTCTCCCGCTGTCATCGCTGATCCCCCGTCAGCCAGAGGTCACCTTGTCAGCAGCGAGGCGAGGCAGCAACAGCAGATGTCGTCCGTGTCAGGAGGCTCGGGGTCAAGTCTTTCAAGAGTCTCCTGACGTGACTCGCTAGGCTCACCCGCTCCCACCGCGGTCACGAGCTTATTTTTAACAAATCGATCCCACGATTCATGACCAGGATGCTGCCACGCTTTTTAATGCTTCTTTCGTTGGATTTTATTTAGGAAAGTGGGCGCGGGATAAAAGATGTTTCGCTTCGTAAATAATAGGTATTGAAACAAACTCACAAAGGATTTTTTTCTTTCTTTATGGGAACCTATAAATTTTCCTTTCTTTTGTCAAATTATTTTGAATCAATTTTGAGCTAAATAAGGTAATCAGTTACTTATTTTTTCCAACAAACATACGAATGATGTTTATCTCGGAACGGTATACCATTGGCTAGCCTACGCTGATCACGTGATCCTCGCCAGCCAATGAGGGCATGAGTTGAGGGCGGGCTCGGCAGCACGACCCGGCGATCAGTAAACCAAGCTACTGGGGTCCTGCGTGAAAATTACTATCATATAGCATGCAACAACGTTACCTCCCTCGACCTCACCGGGGTGCTTGAGCCCTCGGATGGCCCCGGGCGGTCGGGCATCATGGCCAAGGATTGTTTATTTTTGGTTACGTATCACGCCACGCGGGTCGGCTGTTTCTTAAGACCGGCGTTTTGTTTTGTCGAAATTGCAATTACTTGTTGCTTGCTTAGTTTTTATTTTCATCGCCAATGAATTGTAACAAAGTTTCAGAACGTAAATTTAAGTATTCCTTGTGATGCGATGGGTATTTTTATATAGATGACGTGATAGATGAAAGTGCTTCATCATTTGTGTCTGGGGATGATGGGTACATCACGGAGACGAGGTAGGCAGACGCGTCATGAACAAACTTGTAATAAATAAATTCTGATGATCAGGGGGTCTCATTCTGCACACACCTAAAATGCCATAGTCTAGCCTCCCGCCTCGGCAGAGAGAGGCGGCAATCCCTGGAGAAAGTCGCCTGCCATCGCCCTTCTGACGGATGGCGGGAACTCGCCATTCGCGCCGTCTCATCGCGCCGGGAACGCAGACCCTCCTTTCGAATACGCCGCGCTTAGCTTTCATATTTTCCACGAGAGAGAGAAAAAAATGCTTTCAAACGCAAGAACGGAATATTCATGATCAAATATTTTCTTTATCCTTTATCGCCGGCGGCCATAAAACAGACGGACAGCACACGGGTCATAAAACAAAACAGCATCACACAAACCATGATAACATATCCCCCGCTTTTCCTACTGTCGTTTTTATACGTTTTGAAACCCTTGCCGCAGTCGGTACGAGGCAATCTGTATGCAAACTGGCGCAGACGCTTGTACTACAACTTGAGAGAGACATTGACACGAAACATTGCCTATCAGCCGTATGCTTGTAGAAAATCTTAAATTGTGCTTTAAAAGCTGCTCTTACTCTTCCTCCTTTAGTAGATGTTTTTATCGCGCTTGCATCATTATTATTATCACCATCATCATCATCATCATCATCATCATCATCATCATCATCCCCATCATCGTTGTCATTATTATTGATAATATTATTATATGTATTGTTATTATTACCATCCTTATTATTAGTATTAGCGTTGCTTTTACACAAACGTATTGCTATTACTGTTAATCTTACGATTCCTCTTATGATTCCCTCTCATCTTATTAAATGATCGTTAAATACGTGTTACACCAGATCAGAACTAGACTATCCTAGCATCCATCACTGCTGGACCCCTACAATTACTGCGCTGCTCAGATACGTCCACTAACCGGTGTTTCTCCTTTTCCCTCAGGCGTTCCGTGAGCAGCGAATCGACGGGTCTGCCCTACCGCTACTGACGGAGGAGCATCTTACTTCTAGCATCAACATGAAGCTTGGTCCCGCTCTCAAGCTGCGTTCGGTGTTAGCACGACGCTTAGGTGCTTGCAATGTGTGTCTTCACTGCGACCACTGCCACACGCAGAGTCAGGAGCGACGGCCGGCATCAGCTTCGTCAGGGCAGTAGTCAAGCCCCTCCTGGCACGACACTGACGCCCACACTAAACCCCTATGGGCATCCCTACATTGCCTCGAAGGTACCTAAGTAACGATGGAACAGTGGGACATTTGTGCCTTCTGACATGTACACAAGCCGAAAGAATCACCTCAGGACATCACTGCGAGGCTAAAGAAATTTCACCCTGCCCCCTCGCGACCCGGGGGGGAGGGTGGCAACTCCTATTTGTAACGCGGCGTCTTCGACTGTTCCGGCGACAGCAAGTGACCGACGGAGGATTCGGAACTGTACATAAACCGATCTTCATATAAATGAAGTAAAACGAACAAAAGACTTGTGCTGAACCACCGGGCGATAAGTGGATTCTCATTCAAGTAAACGAACTTTTTAAAGTGTTTATGTAATTGAAAACTTCCTCCGTAATATAAAAGAAAGTCACTTAAAGACTTTACCTTAGTTAAGTGCAGTCCAGTGAGGACAAATAATGAAGGTGCTCTTACCTGTAGATGTTTACTGACAGACAAATCATAGTTGCTGTTGCTTAGTCGACCAAGGAGACGTTCCGTAGGTGCATTTAAACGAGGCATGCGCTTAATAGGACCATATTCTGAAACATAATTTGACTGTGCCATCTGCAAGGGACGAAATAAACCAAGACATTCCATTCAAGTTGAGTAAACACATGATTATTTTGTTATTATCCTCATGCTTATTGACGTACGATGAGGCCAGAGACCACCATACACCCAGCTCAAGAGATGTTTCAGAATGTGGCGCTGCTTAGTGCTTCCCGGCGCCGAATGATTATCATTCATCGCCTTCAAAAGACAAAAAACTCGCTCAAGATTTTCAAGTCATAATAATTTTGAACTTTTGTTATTTTTTCATATAGATTGCCCAATTTTTTTTGTTTTCGTTGTACAACCGTTCACACAAAATGTACATTGCAAGGAATACCTCAACAGGTTAGTTGTTTTTTGCTGATTAAATGCATTGCAACTTATATTTTTAGAAATGCAAAAAGCTAAAGCTAACAATGAATGACACGTGCTGTAGAGTTTAGCTTGGAGCCCTCGGTAGCTTTGCAAGGGAGAAGAGAGTGGCTGGTCAGAGCTGTGACTATCTGTGCAGACCACGCGTTTCCCTTACAAAACAAACCTGTGTTAACCCAAAGATTATTAATAAGGCAAACTTTAGTCATTTTGATGGTAGAGGCATATAGATGGTTCAGTATTTATTTGTGTATGACTTTGTGCAGCCTGTGTTGTAATTAAAAGGGTAGTCTGTAAAATGTACATATTTTATTGTTAATTTTGTTTACAGCTTTCCCCGAATTACAGAGGGAAAACTTTTGAGTCACCAGTTTTTTTTTCTTTATTTTTTTGTTGAGTGTGTCAGCAAATTGTTTCTTGTTTTCATTGTAGTCACTCACCTCCAGCAATCACTAACAAGGCCATTCGTGGATGATAGTTACGTAATCAAACCACTTGTGTATTATTTAGAATCTATCTGCAGTCCTGTATAACATCACATTCTGTATCGAGAGCTTTAATTTCCTTCAGTGTTATGCATATTCGAAATTGTTTACAAAAAACTCAAGCATCATTTTCAAGCTACAGTTACATTGAGTGTTGGCACATTCCATGCACCACCGCACCGTGACTGTACCGTGATCACTGCCATGTACCGACATTTCCCACCTATCGTCCAGCGTTTTGGTCGCCTCCGCTTCATCATTATACTCTCATTTCCCATTGATTATCACTCACCTGTACGCTGCATTCTAAGCCGCTGTCATCCTCCAGTGTGTGTTTATAGACCTGTTTTATACGTTTTTGTACATAGACAAATTATAAATGGAAATTCTGAAATGAATGATGTTTTATATTCTATTTTAGTGAACGAATACCCGGTGGTTTGCTCGGGAATAGCACTGGGTCTCTCGGTCAGTGGAACGGTAGCTCATGTGGGACAACAAAGTACATGCACAAACACATGCAAGTACAATTTAGCACATGTACTGAATCACTGACTCTCCCAGAGACTTGGAGGTTGCTAGACTGAGCATACGAGGGGCTGCAGGGTCGGGTGCGAGCAATAAATATATATATAATAAATAAAAGGTTTTCGAGGTTTCATGAAAACTACAAAGTGAAAATTATTTTGTTTGTTTATAATATTAATTTCTATTGGGATGGCTTGTAATACACAACACACCATATTGTAAATATTATAACACCACAATAAAGAAATGAAAGATATGTATGAACCCTTTTGATTTACCTGGAAATTGTTTCAGAACATTACAATGAAGTTTAACAATGAGTGAAATACTTATGAGCATAAACATATGATAAAGGCTATAAGCTGTAACCAAAAGCGATGTAGGGCAAGCTACCAATAACAGTGACAAGGACACCTTATAGTGATACTGCGAAAAAATATATACTCAACAGAAATATTGAAAGTAAATGTACTACTATATATGATGGCAATGAAGTTGCAATCAAAACATGTACAGTAAAACTAAAATGATTGATGATAATATAAGTAATAGTAACGAAAAAGAGACATAATAAAAGTATCTTTAAGGCGAAGATAATATTGGATACAGTACATAAAAGTGGTAATATACGTTAAACAATGTTTATAGTAATTACCTTGATTAATACAAGCGAGTCAAATCATAACCAACTTATTAACAATAATTGTGATATTGTTTATGATGATGGTAATTATGATAATAATAACAATAGCAATAACAACAGCAATTATGATAAAATATAATAATAATAATTATAATAATAATAATAATTAGAATAATGATAACAATCATGATGATGATAATGACATTGATAATGAAAATAGTGATAATGATAATAACAGTAACAGTACAATTATTATAATAAAGATAACAAATGATAATGATAACGATTATTGTGATGATAAATTACTAATAATAGAAATATTAATGATAAGAGTATTGGTAAGATGATGATAATGATAATGATGGTAACGATAATAATGATAATGATAATTATAGATACAATAATGATGATGATGAATGATAATGCTAATATTATGTTATTATTATTATTATTATTATTATTATTATTTATTATTATTATTATTATTATTATTATTATTTTATTATTATATCATCATCATTATTATATATATATTATCATTATTATTATTATTTTATTATTATTATTATTATTATTATTATTATTATTATTATTATTATTATTATTATTATTATTATTATTATTACTATTATTATTATTATAATTATTATTATTATTATATTATTATTTTATTATTATTATTATTATTATTATTATTATTAATATTGATAATGATACAACTGGTGATAATGATGATGATAGTGATAATGGAGATAATAATAATGGTGATGAGAATTACGGTTATGGTTACGATAATGATGATGAAAAAGACAATTATTATAATGATGGCAATGATAGTGATGATAATGATACTAATAAAGGTAATGGTGATAATGATGATAATAATAACAACGATAACGATAATTATAATAATAATGATAGTAAAATAGAAATAAGAATGATAACACTAGTAATGGCACAAGTAACGATGGCAATGATAAGGATAATGGTATAATGATAATGATAATAGTAATAATGATAAAAGCAATGATAATTATAATAATGACAATAACAATGATAATAAAGATAATAACGATGATAGTGGTAATAATAATAACAAGAAGAAAAAAAAGAAATTATGATGGTAAAGATAATGACGATAATGATAGTGATAGTAGTAAGAATAATATGAAGAATGATAATTATGATAACAGAGATAGCAATAATAATGATAGAGGTAGTAATATAATTGGGAATAATTGTAATAAGAAGAATTATGATATCAAAATACT